TCTTATTACAACAATTTTTATACTTTTTACAAATACATAGTTTCATTTGCAATTACATTTTTGCTTAAATCCATTTCGTTTAAAAAATATTTCGCTATAAAAATATTAGTTGAAAAATAAGAAATGTTTTTATGTTGTTGTTGTTGTTGTGTTGTAGTTGTTGTTGCTGTAGGGTATTTTAGGGGCAGGCGCTCAGACAAATTTCTTAAAACATATATTTTTTTCTTTTGTGTGGTTCCGCGCAATTTTCTTTCAACTTTTCCATTTTACTTTTTGCTGTCGCTCAACATTTTCGCACTGCACAAATTTTGCTTTCGTTTTAATTTTACGTTTTTTGTTTGTTTTTTTTTTTTTAGTTTAGACTTTTCAATACATATAAATACTTTCTTTCTTTCTCCTCTTTTTCGTTTAGCTCTGTAAAAATAGATCAACTTTTTGCTTCTTCTTTTTTTTCGTACTTTTTTGTTTCGCTTTTTTTGTGTTTTAACATATTTTGCAAGTTTTTTTTTTTACAGTTTTTTTGTTTTCTTTTGTTTACGTTTTTTTTTTGTTGTTGTATATTTTGCTCTTTTTTGACATTTTTTTTTTGTTGTATTTTTTCTTTTTGGAGAGATTTCGTTATTAAAAAGTTGTTTTGCTCCTTTTCTGTTTGTTGTTATTGGTTTATTTGTTGTTGTTGTTGTTGTTGTATGTAAGTTTAAATGCCTAAAATGTAGTTAAGATCTAACATAACATTGGATATCAGTTTGTTGTTGTTGTTGTTGTTGTTGTTTTTTCATCTTTATCATTATCTTTTTGCTTGGCTTAACAATATAAATCTGCGTATGTAGTTGATTTTTTAATTATTATTTATTTATGTTGATTTTTGTTTTTTGTTTTGTTTTCGCTTTTAAGTTTTATATTCTTCATTTACTTATTTAAAGGGCATGCGCCAAAATGTCTTAGTATAATGAATGTTTTTCTCTTATATCTTAAACCTTTTAATCGTAGTTGCTTGTGGTCGAGTAGGGGAAGGGTGGAGGGGTGGTTCTTATGGGGGGGCGGTCATGAACATGGGCGTGGCTAAGTGAGCTGCTGCTGCTGCTGCTGTTGTTCGTGACGCTGCTCTCAATTGGCCGCACTCGACATCAGCTCGGAGAAGGCATTCTCCAGACAATTCTTGAGCTCAGCATAGGAGACAATTAGTACCGATTGTTCATCGCGTGACATCAATTGCACCTGCGGTGAGAAAAGTGTGTACATTAATTGGATTTATAACTAGTTTGATACAAATGAACAGAGAGAGATTGCAACTTACGCGCTCGATGGAGCCCGCGTCCAGCTTATTGAGGCATTGTACAATGTGCGCGTGATCCAGCCAGGGTCGGCCATCCTCGGTGACGGAATGAAATAGAAAATCACGGAATAGTTTCAGCATATATCTATCACCAGTCTCCGACCAAGTGCAGTCCAAGTTGAAGCTGTCCGCAAAGTAGAGAAAGAGAGTAAGTCTTAGAATAGTTGTTTAAGCTTTTAGAGGTCTTTGACCTACTCAGGTCGTTCGTTGATGCTGTTCAGTTTAACTAAAATGCGATATAGACGACCGTTTTCCATCTCCTTGGCCAGCTCATCCTCCTGCTTATCCACCTGAGCCTGCAGCGCGTCCAGCTGCGTATAAAACCTGGCGCCAATCATGGGCATCAGATCCGTTACAGAGCGGCGGTTATTCGTGGTGAAGAGGTAACTAAACAGAAGTTCGATTAACTATATAGTTTCTATATATAAATCAAAATGACTTTGCTTACACAATAAAATTACGTAGATCGGTGGAGTAGTTTCTGGTTACCATGTCGATGCTGGACTGCACATTGTCGCGCTGCACGGACTGCAGGCAGCGACAGGCCAGCGCTAATACTAAGCGTCCCAGTGCGGTCAGATCGTCCTGCGGAATGGACACAAAAGTTAACCGACTACATAAATACACTATATATATAATATTTGGCGGCTTACCTGCTGGTGCATGTTGACCAGCGCCAAGGGATTGGCCGCATTGGGATCGAACTGCGTGATATCCGAGATGCAGCAGGAGCTAAAGCGCACACGTTTCCCTGTCACAATTATCTTTGTGGGATCTAGAATTCTGAAAGGCAAATAAGCAAGAGAGATTAGTTTATATATAAAGGAAATGTGAGCTGGAGTCAGGTAAGTATATAATATTAATTGATAACTACTCTATTAAACCAAACCTAAGTTATATGAATATTCAGTTCTAGTTTTTATAGCCTAAACCATTTGATTGTGCCTAGAAAGGCATATTAGTTTTTATGTATGTGTCTGTAAGGGAAGAAGGAAGCATTTCCGACTTAATAGAGTATTTATACTATATTCATGATCAGAACGATAAACCCAGTCGTTATAGCCAGGTCCGTCTGTCAACTAGTCTGATCGTCCGTCTGTATTTATAAACTCATCTCCATCTCAAAGAACTTAAGAGGTAGGGATAATTTTGAACGTAGCGCCATCTATTGGCCGCGAGAAACAAACTTCGTTTCCCATCATCGATAACTAGGCCCGTTTCCAAGAAATCGATAAAAATCGATATCGAAATTCTGTTTTTTGAGCATATCTCGGGTATTATAAGAGCTAGAGGCACCAAATTTGGTAGATAGACTCTCGTTAAATACAGCCCAGTAATAGTTTACTTTTTGGATACCCCCAATTCATATTTAAGCAATTAATCCACGAATAGCTAAAAGTTCGTACAGTTATAGCACAAGGGGTATTTAGACTGTCGTCTAGTCTACTTTTTGGTTACCCTTATTCCCTTAAAAAGGGAAACAGATTGTTTTTGGCGGTAAAGTCAATCTATTTTTGGTGGTATAGTCTTGAGCTTAGGGATCTACACACATTCGGATTCCATATTTGAGCATTGAAAACCTTAACGTCATAAAGTTTGTACAATTAACAACAAAGTGATATTTAGACTCTCGTCTAGTATACAAAGAGAGGCTACCCCTCTCCCATTTTTAAGCACTCAAAACCCTCTGAACGTCATAAAGTTCGTATAGTAAACACCCAAAAAATAAGCACAGACAGTTTTCTGTTGTTGTTGCACTCACTTGCAGGCGAGTCCCGCTTGGTGTATGGCCCTCAGGCCCGCGGTCAGCTGCATTATGATCGACCAAATTGTCGACTCGGGCAGCAAAGGTCCGTTATTTGTGCGCTGCATGTTGCTCTTATGACTGCAATAGAATATCGAGTTAGATTGGATGGGCTTGGATTTAGATTTAGATTTAGAGTTTGACTCACCTGAAGGGGCGTGCCTCGCCTTGGAATGGATCTGTGTAGCCGTTGGTCTCTGGCGCTGGCGTAAAGTATTTGGCTAGCAATGTCTGTGAGCCGGGATAGTAGTCGTACACTAATACTAAGGCTGTTGGATGGAACATAACATAATATTGTGTACAGTGCACACTCGATAAGGTGGTTCACTCACAGTTATCACCAAATGCTTTTGTCGTAAACACCTCACGCAACTGCACCACATTCGTGTGCTGCAGCTTCTTCCACATCTCCACAAGCGCCATACATTTTGTGGACTGCAATCGAAAGCCTAGAAAGCAAAGGCAAAAATATTAGATCAGTTATTAGAAAGCTGAGTAAAGACTGGGAGCTGGTGAAGGGTTCTTCGAATACTCCAAGTATAATTTCGCTCGAACGAGTCAAGCCTCAAACTGTTTGAGTTGCAGATAAATAAGCTCGAGCTGTTTGAGCTCGCTTCAAACTCGACCTATTTGTTTGTCTTCGAGCTAGTCGTACAAACATGTTGTTGAGCAGCTCGAGCTTCGTTTGTATGAATGCAAGCGGGTTTAATGAATCATTTATTCGAGTATCCAAGTTTGAGGAGAAGGATTTAACCGATGCAGGGCAATGGGGGGCATAGAAAAAAGTAATTGGACAAAAAGTTTGTCTCTCCTCAGCTCAGATCAGATTTAGATTGCAGTTCAATCAAAAAAATAATTTCGAGCTGTTCGAGCTCGCTTCAAACTCGACCATACATGTTAGCTCGAACATGTTGTTGACTCGAACAGTTCGAACTTTGTTTGTATGAATGCAATCGGGTTTGATGAGTCATTTATTCGCACGATTGAGTATCCGAGTTTGATTTAAGTATAAGTAAGAGTATTCCACGCCTTTATCAGAGAGGACGAGCAGCTCTTGTTCCCTTTGGGAGCCCCAGGCTCAACTTAGTTAAATGAATCATCCACTCACCGTGTAATCTTCTCAGGCAATACTTGAACCCTGTGCTATTGTGCGTGGCCCGGTACGTGCTTGCCGGCAGCGTTAGTTTCGTGTGCATCGGTTGCGCCGGCGGCTCGAGCGGATAGAGCGCATGATAGTTGTCCACCTCGAGGGGCAGGGCGTGCTGTGCCGCCTCCGCAGCGTCCATAATCAGATTGGAGATCTCGTTGCGGGCAAGTATATCGGAGCGCATCTCGTCGGGCATAAAGAAGGCCGATTCCAGCTGCGTCTTTGGCTGCATCGCAATCACATTCGACGCGGGCCCCGGATACACATGTCCCGCATACAACAGCTGCGAGGGCACAGCGCTCAACGGTGCCACAGCACTGACAACGCCATGATGGGCCGGATGTGCCGGATGTGCGGCATCCACCACAACCGAATTGACCACCGGCTGGTTGTTCGCTGCATTGGCAGTCGGATAAAAGTAGATGGTGCCGCCCACGTTCTCCTGTCAAATATACCAAAACGTTAGTTGGCTGCTTCCGAAATTCATTTGGTATTAGAGATGGGCGCGTGTCGTGTTGCCTATCGTGACTCAACAAGACTTTTCGTACTGTTAAGAGTCGTGCGTGATATAATTTCACGACATGCTGTCTTCTCTTGAAATGCACTTGCTAAATCGTGTTATTTCGTGCGTGACACGAATTCAAAACACGCTCCCATCTCTAAAAACGACACGTGCCCTTTTCTAACTAGATATTTTAAGCTTCTTTTTATGTTCAGCTCTGAAAATAACGCAAGGTCGTGATTTTCGGTCGTATTCGAGTCGTGCCTGATATTAACTCACGCCACGCTCCCATCTCTAATTAAATAGTTTAAGCTTGTGTGTGATACCAAATCACGACTCGTGCCCAAAAAAGGCACGCTCTAATCTATTATAAACATGCAGTCACGTCACGCTCCCATCTCTAGCTAGATATTTTATGCTTGTGACATATTTTTCCCTCAAGTCGTGCTTTAAGCTCACGTCGTGTTTAAATCGTGCGTGACACGAAGTGAAGACACGCTCTAATCTATTATTGACACGCACTCACGTCACGCTCCCATCTCTAGCAAGATATTTTATGCTTGACTTTTATTCATTTTAATCCCTTAAGTCGTGCGTGACACAAACTTAGGACACGCTCCCATCTCTTATTGAATACTTTTCACGCCAGTCGTGACACGCAGTCACGTCCCGTTCCCATCTCTAGCTAGATATTTTATGCTTGTGACTTTGATATTATTTCCTCAAGTCGTGCTTTAAACTCAGGTCATTTTTAAGTCGTGCGTGACACGCAGTTAAGGCACGCTCTAATCTATTCTTAACATGCAGTCACGTCACGCTCCCATCTCTAGCTAGATATTTTATGCTTGTGGCTTTGATTTTATAATCTCAAGTCGTGTTCAAGTCGCGCGTGACACGAAGTTAAGACGCGCACTAATCTATTATTGACCCGCACTCACGTCCCGTTCCCATCTCTAGCTAGATATTTTATACTTGTGGCTTTGATTTTATAATCTCAAGTCGTGTTCAAGTCGTGCGTGACACGAAGTTAAGACGCGCACTAATCTATTATTGACACGCACTCACGTCCCGTTCCCATCTCTAGCTAGATATTTTATGCTTGTGACATATTTTTCCCTCAAGTCGTGCTTTAAGCTCAAGTCGTGTTCAAGTCGTGCGTGACACGCACTCACAACACGCTGCCATCTCTAAGCTTGAAACTCACCTGATGCACGCTCGCTGGCAATGTTGTGGGTATGGGCGATGCGCCGTGCGGCGTCATGCCATGTGGCGGCGACTTCTCGCCACCGATGAGCGCCGCCGTCGGCGACTCCTGCCGCATGAGAGCAGCGCGCGCCTTAAGCGGCGTCTGGCCGGACATGTTGCTGACAAATGGCGCCGCCGCCGGGTTCGGTATAATCGCAATTGGCGCCGAGCTGCCAGCAACTTGATCGTTTACCAGGGAAGATTGTTGCTGCTGCTGTTGTTGCTGCTTCTGTTGCTGTTGCTGTTGTTGCTGTTGCTGCTGTTGTTGTTGCTGTTGCGCAATGTTAACAGTTGCAACGACGGCCGTTTTCTGCATGGAGAGCATCGCAGCGGAGCTGCCGCTGCCATTTGAAGTCTTGCTAATGCTCACGGTTGAGGCGGCGGCGGAGGCGGCAACAGTTGCTGTGGAAACGGGCGCTGCGACTGTCGCAACGGCTGCGGCGGCGGCGGCGGCGGCAGCGGCGGCTGTTAACCCATTGACGCCGTTTAGGCCATTATTCATGTGATATGGTGGATAGAAGTTGGGAGACGAATTGATGCGCGTTGGAATGAATTCGGGCGATTGTGGCGTTACCTATTAAAGATTTCCAAAAAATATAATTAAATACAAATCAGGTTAATAATTTACAAAACTAGCTAAATTGTTGCAATCGGCTGCGGCCGACTGTGCAATACTCTGTTCAGAATGTGTAAAAATGGGTGAAAATTCAATGGAGCTCTTTTCTTGCTGCCTCTCAAACTGTACGTGATAATGTTTGCCAAAGTGTAAGTTAACGGTAAGCCTAATCTTTAGCGATTGCTGCATCTGAATATGTAAATGGCAGTGACGATTAAACTGTACTTGAAAATCTAACCTAGGCTTAAGTTCTTTTCTTGCTGCCTCTAAAACTGTACATGCAAAAGGCTGTCAAACTGCGAGTTAACAGCTAACCTAGGGTTCGGCACTTCTCTTGCTGCCTCTAAAACTGTAAATGTCCGTTACTGTCAAACTGTCTTATATTGGGCTGGTTTTTCTACGGCTCTGACTATAGGCGACTGTCAAACTGTTAATAATAGCTCGAATTATGGCGAGCTGTTTTCTTAATGACTAAGACTTCAAATTAAAGTGAATGTCCAACTGTAACTTAATAGCTAACATAAGCTTGACCACCTTTCTTATTGTCTCTAAGACTGTTATTACAAGTGACTGTCAAACTGTAAGTTAACAGCTGACCTTAGCTTGAGCACTTTTCTTGCTGCTTCTGTAAGTGCTAATGACTCTCGAACTGTATATTAAAATACGCTTGACATAAATTGAGCTGGTTTTTAGAAGACTGTGACTTTACGTGTCTGTTCTTAGATTGCGGTGTTTTCTGCATGACTCAAGACTGACTTCAAGTGACTGCCAAACAGCAAGTTAAATAATAGTTTCAAATAGATTAAGCTGTTTTTTTTAACGACAAACTGCACAATTTAAGTGCCTATCAAACTTTACTTTATAGCTAAAATTCGATTCAGGTGTTTTCTGTATGACTCCAGATTGTAAGTGCGAGTGACTGTCAAACTGTATGTTAATAGCCAAAATCTACCTTTAAATTCTAACCAGTTTATACACGCTTTCTTCTCTGAGTGCAGCTTCTAGGCTCTGGCAAATATAGATTTTATATAGTTCTATCGACAGACGGACAATGCACAAAACTTATATGCTCCTTTACACTTTGTGAACAGAGTATTAGGGACAAAAAAGAAACGTACCAACACGCACTTTAAGGGGTAGAGTTTGGTGTTAAGTGGAAACTAACTACTAACAAGTGGTGTGGGGGGGAGGTGTTGGGGGGGGCGGGTGTTCGGAGGGGGCGTGTATTGCTGCTTTTACCTGAGACTTTTTATTAACTGCTAGGGACGAGTCCAAGTTAAGTAGTGAGAACCCATTACCGTTACCGTTACCGTTAACGTTAACGTTACCGTTATTCAGCCCATAGCCCGACGTTGGGGCAACATTCTGTCGATTCTGTCACCCGCAGAGCGATATATATACACACACAGAGCGAGAGAGACAGGGAGAGAGTGCGAGAGAGATAGCATGCGAAGAGACAGAGAGTGGGAGAGAGAGAGAGAGAGAGTGAGATAGTTTGAATTAAAGAGATTAAAGCAGCAATAGGCTTGTGTTTTTTGTCAAAATTTGTGTAGGATTGTGTAAATACGAATGTCCTTTATGAAGATTTCGAGGAAATTATCATCCATACGAATTTATCATTAAAGGACATACGTTGAGAACTCCATTAAAGGGTATCTTCCATGTACGTAAAACTCTTTTAAGTAGACAAACAACTTTTTGCAGCAAGAAATCTTGAAAATTTGCAAAATATTTCAAATATTTCATTGTTTAAAGGTTTAAAATTATAAGATGTTTGTTTAACAATTTTAAAAAAGAAGCAAATAAGATAATACCAAGGAAAAACTTTAATTAAGTTACTTAATCAAAGGAAAATTATTAAAAAAGTAACTTTATTGAAGATTAAAGATACTTTATGAAAGATTAAAGTAACTTTCTTAAAGATAGGAACATTTTTAATAAAGCTGCTTATTAACGGTTAAAGTAACTTTATTAAAGATTAAAGTTACTTTATTAAAGACTTTTCTAAAGATTAGAGTAACTTTCTTAAAGATATTCCCATGCATTTTCTTTATTTCTTATAACTCTGAGGTCTATTTAAAGTGAACGTCTCTCTGAGTAAACCCAAATTGGAACAGTTGGTAGAGAACTTTCACTTTTTATATGTGCAACATACTTTGTATACCCTTTCTTTTGTTATAAATACAATTTAAGTCATTCAAAAGTTAATTTTGAATAAATTTTAAGTACAAGTTTATATTACTCTCTGTTTATTTCTGCAATTTACATTCATTTTATTTTTATTTAATTTCATTGAAAATCAAATAAATAATGAAATGAAAAGTAAAATCGATGCATGAGCAGAAAATATGGTTATTGCTTATATCTTTATGTACACACACTGAGAGATACAGTAAATGCCAATTGATGTGTGTGTGTGTGTACACACTGTATGTATGTTAACAGTCGCAAAAAGTCGGTCAAGTATACAGATAGATACACACACACACACACACACACATATATATATATATATATGTAGTCAGACAGACGCGCTGCATATGGACTTATAGATTGAAATGAAATTGTTTCAAGCAAATCGAGTGAAAACAAAAACATTGCAAGCATAATTAAAAATACAATCAAAACAAACTTCAGCTGTTAATTTAACAGCTGTTTGTTGTTGTAGCACTTGTAAATATACACATACATAAACACACACATATATGTAAACATGCATGTATATGCGTGCGTGTCCGTGTGCATGTCTAGGCTAGGCAGGGTCATTCGTTAAGCCGCCTACTGCGTAACCAGTGTTGCCAACTGTCGCATTAAAAAAGCAGCTGAGGCCAATGTTAAAAGTAGCTAAATTAACAGCTGGTTCATAAACAGCCAAAAACAAGCCAAATCAGTTGGCAATGTCAGCCGTTTCCAGCTGTGGAGCGGTGTATGCAACCAAGTCTAGCTAGAAAACAACCAAATTGGCCGTAACACATTTGCATGTCAATCACAGCGCGTGCCTCTCAAACTGTCAACTCTCATGAGCCTCAAACTGTGCGTTTTAACGTAAATGGCATTAATAATAACAACAATAATTATATTAATAGCAACAACATAATAAAAGCTTACCATATAAGTGGCGAGTTTACTTTCAGAGGGTATACCGTTTGAAGGTGAAAAGAAAATTGGATCCATAGCAGCCGTATCTGTAAAGAGAGCAACAGCGGGAGAGCGAGAGAGAGAGAGAGCGTGAGTAAGTAATAAGACAAAATAAATGATTAGAAATCAATTAAATAAACATGAACATGAATTTTGACGCCCTGTGCGTGTGCCTATGTGTGTGTGTGTGTCCGTGTGTGTGTGTGTGCGCGCGCGATAGGCTCAAGCGTAAACAACGTGTGCGAAAGAGAGAGAGCTCGCGCGCGCAAGCAATTGCAGTGCACAGTTGTTCTTTTTTTTATTTTCATTCTTTCATTTTTGTTGATATTTTGTTTTGTTTTTGGTTCTCGTCAACGTTATCGATAAAACGATAACGCGTGAGCAGCGCTTATTTTTGGAGCACAACAAAAGCTGTCGCTCTTCTTCTTGTTGTTGTTGTTGTTGTTCTTGCCTGCTGCTTGCTTTTTAGAGTGTGTAAATAAAAGCAAAGACGCAATTCGCCGTTTGGTTCTGCCTCTGCCGCTGCCTCTGCTCGGGAATAACAAAAAGCACGCAAAAAATGTTAATGACAAAAAACAACAAACTGTGAAATTTGCGTCTTCGTTTTGGAAGGTGCTGCGATGGAAAACAGAAGATAGCCGCAATTCACAATTCACTCCATTTACATACGTACACACACAAACATATATATGTACATGCACACATGCATATATTTTCGGAAATGCCGCCGTCAGGACTAATTGGCCTGTTTCTTTTGCTCGTGTTGTTCTTGTAGCCTGTCAAACTGTTCTCTTGTGGATGGGCTGCTCCCATGTGAACTTGTGAACTAGTAAATAGTGAATGTCAAACTGTATAGCTGCTGAAATGCGGACACTGTTTGAACGCAGCGCATGTAAAACTGTACACATATACTAAAACGTGAATGTTGTTTCAATGCAGTGATTGTCAAACTGTTTCAATGCACTTGTGGAATGAGAGACGCAGCAGCAAAAATGTAAAATACAATTTTAAAAAAAGCTCAAACACATTTTTGCATGTGCGGCCAAGGGATGGGGGAAGGGGCGGCAGGTGCGGTTGATATGGGCCAATGCCTTTTGGCAGCGCAGAAAGCGACGCATTAAATAAGATAAATAAAAAAACCAAAAGTAAGAATGCATAAAACGCAAGTTCAGTGCTAGCAAATACCCTGTAAAGAAAACAAGCATCTGTACGTGTATGTGTGTGTATATGTGCGTGTATAAATATGTATGTGTGTGCCCTTTTGTGCCAGAGGCAGAACCAGTTTATTTTGTCGACTGCCCCCGCGGCAACCAAATTATTAAAACGAATTTTTCTATGACGCCCCTCTCTGCGATTCTCATCAATTCAAATAAGAATACATTCATGCTTTGAATATAAGTGCTCTATTAAGAAATCTAAAAGTGATTTCTTCTTCTTCTAAAAACGTGCATACTATATTTATATATATATTTTAGGTAGCTCCCTCATTCTAACAGATGACTCTAAGACACTCCTGAGTTTGTATGTGAAGTTTTGGGTAAGTCCATAATTACATAAATATTTATTTCGAATATATTGATGCAATTCTTCTGTACTTTTTTAAAACATATTCAAAATAACCTTTTGCTTTTACTTCGAAACTATGCGATTAATTTCTATGGAATCAAAATCCAAGGAACTAGTTCGTTTCGTGCATGTTGACTTGTGGAACGCATATACCCCGCGGGTTGTGTTTTCAGTTTTAAACGTTTTAACAAGTGATATTGGCCTTGAAAATATTCGTGCAAGTTTTAAGCAAAAACAAAACGAAAAGAAAAAAACAAAACAGAAAATTTCATTTTGTGTATTTAGCTGTGTTGGCAAAATCACTTGTGCTTTCCGACTGTCTGCTATTTACTTATTTCATTAACATTTTAGCGCACGCAAAGCACACAAAAACACGACAAAAAAAAAATACAAATAAAAACAAAAATTGATATATTTAACAGTTTGAGAGCGCGGAACAGATGTTGCTTACAATTAGAGAGCGATTGAGCTGCACTTACATGAGCATGGCCAGTGCATGTAAAACCGGTGAGAACGAGTTACGTTCAGTTTCGAATATATGCAATGCCTCGCAAACTGTAAGTACTGGGCGCTAGTAGCTTTGCATACACATGTATGTATGTATGTAAGTGTGTCTATGTATTGGTGAACGTTTTCACTTTACATAAATTGACTGCTACTGGCAGCTTGTCTGCATGACGTCGGCAAAAACAGAAAATATATTATTGCTGTTGTTTTTGTTGCTGCTGCTTTTGCGGCGAAACAGACAGCTGTGTTTTGCTTCAAAGATCACGAACGCGTTCATGAAAATGCCACACTCACACACACATACGCAGGCAGACAAGCGCACGCATACGTGGGCATAAAAAGAAACTTTAACACACACTTCAATCAGGTGAACGAAGAAGAGGAGCGCGTTCGAGGGGGGGAGCCAAGCAATCACAATATTATGTCGTTATGTCACGTTGTATATCAACATGCATATACATGTGTTTGTTTGTATATATAGATGCGGCAGCATTTACCGTTATGTATTACGCTGCTTTTGAAAAGCACGTATATGTATGTAACGGTATGCAAGGCACTCGTAAGCGCAACACAAACGCGGTAGACGAACTGCGCGGCAGCACGGCGCAAACTCAACTGAGTAGGCGCTAGCGCGCAGGCGGCGTCGGCGGCGGCGGCGACGACGGAGGTGTGTGCGTAAACAGAACAGCGCTCGGCGAGAGCAAACACTGCTCAGAGAGTTGTAAAACAACAGTATGCGAGCGAGCAAGCTGTCACTCTCAAACTGTGCTATAGACAACAAACGACGAAAGTGGGCGTGCGTGCGTGAGTATGTGTGTAAAGCCAGATGCGGCGATAGCAGCTACAGCCAAGAAGAAGAGTTCTAGAGCGCGCGCGCTTTCGTTAACTCATCGTGTGTGTGTGTGTGTGTGTGTGTGTGTGTGTGTGTGAGCGGGCACAACGTTTAACATTTTGTTTACATTTTATGTGTTATTTGACAGTTTGACAAGCACACAGTGTGCGAATGCATTGACCCTTCCCATGATCACGATCTCAGATGTGTTAAACTGCAGCGCAGCCCCCAACCGTAATTGTTGGCTGTGATTTATTCAACATGGTTGTCGCTCATAAATGTTTGTATATATGTGTAAGTGCATCGGAGATTATCAACCGCCAGGCTCTTGCATATTGCGAGGGGCGAGCACGTGTCGCCCATAGGGGGACATATACATATATACTCATTAGCCCATTAGTATAACTAGTTCGAATCGGCCTTTTACGAGACCTGCGCCTTATCAGCATTATCAGCCAGCACACACTCGCACCTGCCTGCCGCGAAGCAAAAATTTATCAATGTTTCCAGCTGAAGCTCAAGTAAGTTACATAGATCTTCCAAAGGAGATAAGAGAGCAGGAGAGAGAGAGTGCTGAGCGAGCCTCACTGTCTCTCTCCCTCTCTCGGCCAAATCTTGCACGTGTGCTGCTTTTAGGCCCACAAAAAGCTTCACTTAAAGCTCATACTGCCTGTCAGTGTGTTTGTGTGTGTGTGTGTAACAAGTGTGCATTTAATACTTAATTGTTTTGAAGCTATTAAAATTTCAATTGAATAAGCTACTGCCAATAGGCTGTTACACATAATTCAAATACAGTCATACCTGGATTGAACGGCCACGTTGTTAGAAAAAATATTTGAAATTTGAATAATGTTTTAATTTGGGAATCTTAAATTTCAAAAATGTTTTATTTTCTATTAAAATGTGTAAGGGTTAAATTCCCGATGAAAAAAAAAACATTATCAAAAGTTAGTATGTACTTTTTACAAATGAATAGAATATAATTTTGGAGGCCAAATCATTTTAGAGCATAAATCTTGATTAAAAAGGCATTTCGTACTAATTTTGATGCAGGCAAATTATAAAAAAGGCAACACTTTTAAATTCTCTACATATTTTATAAATGTAAATAGAACATTTTTTCGGTTAGTTCAGTTCAAATGAACTTAAAAGAACTAAAAACTAAAGTGAACAGCTTTTCTGGAGGGGAACGGATTAATAAAGGCAATTCTTCCCTAGCTGTGCATAAAGATTGCAATTCCAGCTGTTCGCTTTAGCGGGCTTTCACTGTATACCCCCCCAAAAAAAAAAACGGGTTAACGTTTCGCAATTCGCATTTCTTTTGTTCTTTTCATAACTTGGACTTACAAAAAAAAAATAAGAGAGAGAAAAAAAACTTGGTCAGAGAACGGTTTTCATGGCGCGATCTCGCACAGTGCATGATATTGACAGTGTTCGTGGGTGCAGAGGGGCTGGGGAGGGGAGGGGTAGAGAGGTTGGCGGCTCGGGTTGCGCTGTGTCGCTGTCGCAAGCCGCCAACGTGACCAAAGACAAGTTTGGTTGGTTTCTGCCGCTGTGGTTGTTGTTGTTGTTGTTGTTGCTGCTGTTTGACCCAATTCGCCGTCGACATTCAGTTCAGTTCAGTTCAGGCGAACAGCTGTGCAAATGCCGCGCTCGCATATCGCGGGGCGTCAATGGGTTAATAAGGCAAGCGCTTAAAGCTCAGCCAAAGCAACAACAACAACAACAGCAACAACAACAATTGCAAACTCATTGATATGTAAACTAAGCCTACTCGATGAATTTTTTACAGCTCAAAAATGAAAAAAATAAAGAAAAAAAAGTATTGCAAAATGCGGTCAGGCAGCGCGGTTGACAAAGAAAGCGGCGTAGGCGGCAAAACAAAAAAAAAGTACATAATATTAATGTGGAGTAACAGTTGTTGGCAAAGACGCGCAGGGTGGGAGAAGGGGGGCGGGGGGAAGTGCTGGCAGCGGAAGCGCAAAATGATATGCCTGCAAGAGGCAGACAGAACCAGAGACAGACAGAACAAGAAAGAGCGCAACAGTAGGGCGTGAGCGACTAGCAGATACGCTGTAAACGAGCTGCATTCGGACTTAACATACATTTACATACATGCATGGAAATAATTCGAATATAATTTATGGGTTCTCTACCTGTTGATGCCGATCAAGAATAAATGCATCTACAGTAAAAACTCTCGTAGAAGAACACACACCGTTGGGCAACGTTTTTCCACCCAATAGCATTGTCCGTTAGGAGAGTTTTCATAGTACATGTTTTTATTAATGCCTCCTTCAACACGTTACACATTTACTCATCAAATTAAAATACCCTCTTCAAGTGTAAAAAAAAAAAGAAGAAAATAACAGCAAAAGCAACGTTGTCAATATGCCATCTCCCTATCTCTCTCTCTCACTCGCTCTCACTCTCAGCCTGTCACTTGCCGAGTCGTTTATTCTGTGAGCTTCTTCTTCCGCTGCGTTGGCAGAAAACAGAAAGCAGCAACAACAACAACAACAGCAGCAACAACAACAACTACAACAAGAGCGAAGACAGCAGCAACGGTCGACGTCCGCTCAGTTTCATTTTGATTGATGTGTTTTTGCTCACTCGCTGCGATTGACAGCTTTTGCGGCGAATTACGCATTTACCTTAAAGAGCGAAGGGGTGACGGGGGGGAGGGGGGAGGTGGAAGAAGTGGGCAGCCAGCCAACACAAATGTTGTCTATTACATGCTGTTACTCGCACTATCTCGCTCGCTCGCATGCACGCGCGTCCAGGGTGTTTACAGTTCAAACGCACACACATTACTTTGCAGCAACAAATAAAAACACAAACACAAAACACTCTCGCACACACACACACACACACAAGCGAACACACTCACATGCAATGACACTCACACTTGTGTTGAGCTCTCGTTCGCCGCGCTCGCCGTGTGGTAACGTTCGTTGCCAAAGAGTGACTAACTCAAAAGGTAAGCAGCGGCAATGAAGACGAAGCACACGGCACAAACACCAACACACACAGACAAGCGCAAAAGCAAACACACAAAACAAAAACCAAAAAAAAGTCACACAAAAGCAAAATGCGCTATTGCGTCTGATAATACAGTTTGAGTGGCAGCAGCAGCAGCAGCGGCAGCATCATAGAGCAGTGCGTGTCAAACTGTAGGCGCGCATTCGTTTCAGAGATGAGAGCACGGCGAATTACGTTGCGTTGTGAACCAGTTCAAGTTCATAGACACATTCAATTATAGCTGAATGTCTAGTTCAAACTGCGCTGGCAAATTGCTTTAAATAATATTTAATTTGATAGAGGGAGAAGAAATACTCGAAGACTTGCGATAGGTTTAAGTAAATTGGGGTATAATTCTAGCTTCTGACTTTTATCTTTTTCTCTTTTTTAATATGATTCTATAATGAACGGGAGTTCTGAGCAAAAACTAGTTCCAGTTCTCGTTTCAAGATTATAATGAACGCCTGTTCGGGGCATGAACTAGTTCTAGTGCTCCTTTAAATTTTATAATGAACGCATGCCCTGAGCGTGAACTAGTTCAAGTTCTCGTTTTAATATCATATTGCCGCAACTGCTGAGCACGAACTAGTTCTAGTTCTCGTTTTAATATTATAATGAACGTATGTACTGAGCATGAACTTGTTCCAATTCTCGTTTTAATATTATAATGAACGCCTGTTCTGAGCAAGAACTAGTTCCAGTTCTCGTGCATGTGAATTGAAATAAAAGACTCGAATTGCCATGGGAAAGATCATAAATTGTATTCATTATTATCTAATGATAATAAAATGCCGCACAGGGAGAAACTGTTGCTCCGCGGAGGATAACAGCTGGAGGGGAAAAGGGGACAGGGGGAAATTTCGCAATCAGGAAACAAATCTAAACAAGCGACCCACTGGACAGCGGCAATAGATAATGAGCCCAGCTAATGGCAATAAAACTGCCAGACGAAACATTCCGGCACACGCACCCTAATCACACGCACACACATAGAGAGACACGCACACAGACACACACACAGACACACACACACACACTCATAGAGACACACACACACACGGACACAAGCACGCGGACGTCGCGGCGTATGAGTAATGCGTGCCTCAAGGGCAGCTACTTTGCCAAGCGAAAGTGAATGCGAATTTAAACGAGGGGATGCGATGGGGAGCACACGTAGCAAGTAGGGGGCAAGTAGGGGGGGAATTAGGCGGGCGGGGGTGTGTCACATTGATAACAGCTGCCGGGTAAGGGGAAATATTATGCAGAACGCGTGCGTATAAAAAATGCGCAGAGGAATGTGTTGCATACTTTGCAGCAGCATTTCAAGATTTTTACACGAAAAGCCAACAAACAAAACAAGAGAAAGTGGACCAGTAGAGAGTGCCCGCTAGGTGATACCCTGTACCAAACTGCGGAGAACCTAAAAGTCGGGTGTATCTAGCTCTTAGAATCTTCGAGCTGTGCTTAAAAAATCAACAAAGCAAATAAGTAAAAGTTCTTTAATCGGGTGTGACTGACTGGGTGATACCCTGCACTCCGCAACAAGCTGCTGTGCTGCTTCATGCTATACAATAATCCAAAAGTTAGGTGAGTCTAGATCTTATAATCTTCGAGCTATGCTTAAGAAATCAAGATAATATTTTTATTTTGGGAAGTTTTCGAACAAAAAAATACTAAAAACTCGTTCTGCATAGGGTATAGATGACTATATATAACAATCTTGAATTCTTTTTAATACATTTTCATCTGTAATCTCCAAACTTTTCAATGGTTTCAGGGCATAAGAACCCTAAACAAGCTACAGGGTATATGTATTTGGTTAAGAAATTGTTCTCCAGCTTTGTTTATTTCTATTTGATCCCAAGTTCCTTAAAGAAGAGCAGAATTCCAGTCTATATACACAGCTCCCATATACACTGAAAACCAACTAAAGCGCCTCGATAAATAAACAGAAGAACGCACTCGTATTTATGTCCATATTTATGTTTGAATTCTTGCGTATTCCTTTGTAACTGGGGGAGCAGAGAAGAGAAGCGGAAGAAACAGCAGACACTTGCGCTTTTGCAGCCTTCAATTGAGACAGGGTAGCGGAAAATCGGGTAACTGTGGGCTGAGCCTCTGGAGAGGTTCGCCTGAAAACGATGCCAAACTCTGAGAACAGACAGCAGCCAAATGGAAGCCAAGAAACCAGTTTCAAATTGCAGTCGATGCGATACGATACGATCCGAAACAACAAACAACAAGAGTGAACAAGTCCATGGGGATCGACTACCAGATACCCTGTTTAGAGAGCCGAGCTGGTTTCAAAGTTACTCCGTACTCAGGTATTTCTAAGCCCCTTCTGTGTTTATTGTCCGATCGTTATAATAATTTCAGGTCTTAGGGGAAGTATTTAAAACTTGATATATACCTAAAATCCTTTTTAATTTCGAAACTTCAAAGTCCTATATTATGGAACAGGTATTCCTTAATAATTCCCTTGTTTTTTGTCCGATCGTTATAAAAAATTGCAGGTCTTAAGGAAAGTATTTCAAACTTGTTATATACAAAAAATCAGATATGGTCCCTATTTATTTGAGAGGAGTTGAAGAGGGGTATTCATAAGTTCAAAATTCTTTAACTATGCAAAGACTATAAAATTCAAAATGTGCTAGATGGGGCTGAAGTATCGATTAATTTTGGTGGAAGTGGATAAGGGTATTCAAAAGATTAATATTCCTCAGCTATACTAAGTAATACATTAAATTCAAGATGTGTTTATAATACGATATCTATCGACTTCATCTAACTGGGCGAGTTATCGATAAATAATTGCTAACATGTTGCAAACCTGTGCATCAAGCCAATATGCCCACTCTCAAACAATTTTCAATGGGTACAGGGCACAAGAAATAACAAAAGGCAACATCAACAGGTAACCCAATGCACCTACAGAGAACCAAACCAGAAGTCGCAACACTTCAAGTCATTGTATTTCCGTCAGCTGCCGTTGCGGCCAGGCCAGGAACTGGTTTTAATGTGTGTGTGTTGGATAAGTCTGTTGTTTTTTGTTGTTTTTTAAAGCAAAAAGGAAGGACAGGTATTGCCAGGATCAAGCCATCCACAATGTCAAAGGACAAGTGGAACTTGTTCGCTCGAGGGTTGCAATTTCCAATGATCGTTTCCAAGAGAAACAATCAACAGCCTCTCCCTCTCCCTCTCTCCTATTCCAGGCATGCCTATGTGTGTGTGTGTGCAATTACAGCGCTTGGGGGTAGATTGATTACAGAGTAGATGCTGTTATGCTCAAGTGTTGGCTAATGTGCATTTGCTGCCTAGCGCCATCTCGCTCGCACACGCGCGTTCCATGATCCCTTCCAATGGTCACGGCTGCATGTAATTGCCAATAATAATGAGCTTGGAAACAATTCAATTTCCAGTGCTGGCAGAGCGCGCAGCTAAATTGTATGCGAACGCAGGGAAGAGGCAACAAACAGAGAACGGCAATTTGTGTATGAAATATGACAAAGGTGACTTTCAATTGCAACGCGCACACACACACAAGCACACACATTTGTATGTATGTGTGCATAAAAAGCTCAAGCTGACTTTTCGTGTGTGTGTGTGTGCGTTTTGCTTTGCTCATGCTTTGGTTTTTGTTTGGGTTTGTGTTTTGTTTTGGTTTTCTTTGCCACTTACCTGCCGGAAAGAAATTGTTCAAGAACGTTGACATTTTCTTCTTCTTCCTTTTTCACCTTCGCTCCGCGAACAGCAGCAGCGACAACAACAAAGCGTACTGCGCGCTGCGCTCACCTTGTTGCTCTCTCCCTCGCTCGCTCTCTCTCTCTCTCTCTATCTCTCTTGTGCTCTCTGCTGTTTTTGGTCCTGTTGTTGTCTTCTTCTTGTTGTTGCTGCAGTTGCGAACGTTTTTGTTTTTTTTTTTTGCTGATTTTTGTTTTGTCGTTTTGTTTTCGGTTTTACGCTTTTTTTTAGTTTTCTTTTTATAAGTTTTTTTTTGTTACGTTTTTTTTTTGTTTAATTTTTTAATGTAAACTCATTGAACAGAAATTTAAATAATACATACAATTCGCGCTTAACTTCTAAATTTCACATTACACATGCTCACATTGTGTTAAATATTTTGTTTTTTTTATTATTATTTGTTGCTTTTAATAATTATTCTGTTTTCGGTTATTAAAATGCATATTTTGAGACACAAACGCTGAGCACTGGCTGCAATAATTGGAAAGAAAAACAAAAACAAACATTGATAAATACTCAAATTTTCGTTGTTGTTGTTGTTGCTTTTTATGCTGCTTCTGCGCTGCAGAGGGCAAAACGCAACGGTAAACCAAACAGAATCCTCTGCTTTTGCTGAAATTTGTTTTTGTGTTTGTATTTCATGTTTGACTGATCGGGGAGAGGGGAGGGGGGGGGGGGGGGGTGAAAAATGAAATCCAAAAAGCAACAGCGCCAGCAGACGAAGGAGTTTGTCGAGGAGTGAGGGGAGAGGGGTTTAGGCAGAGTTTTGGCTTTGCTCTGTTTGGATTTCATTTGATTTGTGTGCGTGACGCTCAGCCATATACAGACACAAAATGCGCGCATATTTGCTTTTTACTTCTTTTCTGTTTTTTTTTTCTTTTTCACTTTGGTCGCTACACTCACACACACACACACACACACACACACTCACACGCACACGCACACATACACTTATATTTTGGAGTTGCTTTGGCGTCTGCACAATATTCACATATTTATAGCATTTTATATTTATAACATTTTTGCATCTCATACTTTTCGCTGAACCTGCGCCAACATATTGCAAAACTGTAAAGAGAAGAGTGTGGGTAGAGGAGTAGAGAAGAAGAAGATGTTAGCAACGCTCGTTGTTGTTGTTGGTGTGCTTACAATTAATTATGTATGTTTTTGTGTTTATTTATGTATGCATGCAGATTTTCTATTTTCTTTTTTATATTTATTTTGCTGGATTACTAACAATTAATGAGCGGGCGGCAAATAAGAAACTCTGCGCGAGTCAAACACACACACACCGCGCGTATTGCGCTGCACGAAGGTACTGAAAACGGCAGACGACGACGAAGAAGAAGGTGACGGGCAATTCAAGTGCCCAAGCGAAGCCAAATGGAGTCCACACGAACCCTCTCGCCATGTATTGGTGTTAGAGCGTGTGTACGTGCTGATGTTAATGCGCAGATATGTGTGCATATACACATGCATATACATATATGTATATCTCTATATGTGATGTGTGTTCGTGTGTGAGCAGGGTGAAGGATTGGTAAGAGCTAATAAAAACAACAACATTTACAGCTGTGTCTCGTATGTGACATGGGCACACAGTGGGCACCGCATGACGCATTCTGTGGCCACAATTGGCCAAATAAACATCATCAAAAATAACAAAAAATATGCTGCCAAAAAAAAAATGTAATAATTTTTGATGATCGTTATTAATGCTAATCAAGTTAGACTATAATGAATTGAAGAGCGGACAATCAATTTGCACCACGGTGCGACAGGGTAGACATTTTGCAGGATATATGTACATTTGTATACACATACATACATACAGACAAGCGAAGCCAAAGCAAATGACGTTTTTGAACACTAACACACACACGGACAGACTTTTACACACGCATGTGTGTGTTTTATTTGTGGAGTTAAACAGGATCCAAGCAGACTCAACAGCTGGCCAGCACGTACATACAAAAGCAACAGCAGCCACAAGAACAGCAACAACAACGACCAATCACAACAGGTCAGCATCCACAAACGTGTGCAACATGGCATCCACTCAGCACATAGAGCCTTAGCTGTGGATGCCAAGTGGATGCTACAACAGCTGGCAACAAAAAATTGAAGCAACGCGGGTGGTTCGTATGTGTGTGAGGGGGGGAGCGAGCGAGCGGTTGGAGCCGTGCTTAAAGGAAGCGCTTTTTCTGTATTTCCTCTGCTGCTGCTCAACTGGAAACAGCTGAAATTAATTTCATTTCGTTGGCGCACAAAAAGGTGTTACCATTTGGGGCACACAACAAGTGACAGAAGGCCAAAGGTTATGGCCATAGGCTTTAACACAGACGCACGCACGCACACACACACACACAGCATATGTGTTTCGCTAGAATAACTTCAGGACTGCTGCATACATATATACATACATGGGCTTTTAGCATTTTGAAGCTTGGCTAATTAGTTGAAGTAACCAAGCGAAAAGAACACAAACAAGCAGAACAAGTTTCAATTGGCCGCACGCTTTTTTCTCACACGTTGCTGTTGTTGTTGCTACTTTCGTCGTTCTTTTTTTGCGCACCCAAAATTCTTAAGACGCAATTAGTTATAGTTGTTATGCCTAGGCCGTGCCGCTATGCAGATTTTACGTTATTATTATTTTTATTCAACTCACTTTTTGCAGTTCCTGGACAACCGCTCACACATTTGTTGTTGTCTCACTACAGATTGTGGCGGGCGGGCGATAGGCGACTGTTGTCGATGATTTTTTCGAATTGCGCCACTGCACGCAACAATCGTGCAGCTGCGTTGCGATAGTTATCGATTTATCTTAACATTGTGTTGGTTGTGTGTTTCAAAGAAAAAGCGCGACTTAGATCGTATACCCTTGCGCAGATCTTATTTTATATTAGGAGTGTAACTTATAATAACGCACTGGCAATGGCCATTACTCGGAGTATAGAAATTGCGTGAGTAAATTTATTCGTCAAATATTGGCACAATATTGGCATTGATGCTTAGGATCCCGTTATATGTGTGAGAGCGAGCAGAATGAGCGGGAGAGGCAATTCAGATGTGCAAGCGCGCACGCCATTGGTCGTTACCTCAGCTGAGTATCCAGAGCAGCGAGCCTTGTGAGAGCAGTAATTGCAATTGTATTAGTGTGAACGCCGGCTTAGCGTAGGCTCCCCTATGGGGAGGCAATTCAGTCAGTGCGCGCCCGTCCTGTCGATCGGTTGTGTTTTCTGCGCGTGTGCAAACATTTTTTTTTTATTTTTTATTGTTTTTAACTAACTAAATGTTAGTAGTAGTGAGTAGTGCGTGCCGAGTGTTTGTGTATATATAAAATATAATAGTCTTGCAGCCGCTCTCTGCCTCAAAAGTAAATTAAGTGTTTTATAATTTTTGGCGCTGAGCTTTGCAACTAATAACAAATTGGCGCGCATTTTGGCTTAATCCACATCCAGCAGCTGAATGAGTGAAAGAGAAGAAAAGTTAGGATTATGCAGCTATATAAACAAACAAACAAACAGGTAAGCTCTTGTACATATTATACATATGTTTATATTATAATTCTTTAAAGTACATATATTTATGATAACTTAAAGCAATGCAACTATACGTTATATATTATATACAACTATATATTTTAATGGGTGCTATTTAATATTAATTTATATGTTCTTTAAGATTTGATTTCTTTTGATTTTATTGTTTAAACGCATTTTAAACTTGAGAATATCAGTTTTGACTTTGTGCTTGATAACAGTCCGCTGTTAATAACAATAATGCTACTGTTAATGCCACTGTTAGCAATAGCTTCGCTCTATTCCTGACCTACTTGATAACAGTTCGCTGTTAACAACATTTATGCAACTGTTAATGCTTCGCTCTGCTTCCGACCGTGGCTTTCCTCAATTGAATCAGTTTTCCAGCTTCCAATTTTGTTCATCTGTAGAAACAGATCCTTCGCTGCCATTTGGTGGGCGTGGATTCGTATATAATTTGGCGGCCCAGCTGCTGCTCCATATACTTTTGTATCTGCTGCTCCACATCCAAGCGCCACTTGAGCTCCCGCAACAAGGGGAACGTTTCGCCCGCACGCTTCAGACGCCGCTCGGCGGTCAGATAGCATTTCCAGGGCTGCGGCTCGACCACAAAAAGCTCGGCCAGCCGGGATAGCTGGGACAAAAAGCGCTGCAGGCCGCTGTCGTGGTGATTGAGATGAATCCACATGGTTATCGAGTAGCAGCAGATGGCATCAAATTTGTCGCGTTGCTGCTGCTGCAAGAAACTCGCAACAATTGCATCAAAGCTGTCCGCATTCAGGACATCGCCGCAAGCGTAGCTGATCTTTGCGGGGCACGTGTTTTCCAGCTGGGCGCGTTCGATGAGCCGCTCGTCTATGTCCACGCCCAGCAGGTGCACCGGCCGCCGCAGCTGCGCCTCCAGAAAGCTGTGCAGCAGCTGCGTGAAGTCGCCGCAATTGCAGCCAACATCCAGCACCAGGTAGGGCTTTATTTCCGCATTTAAATTTGGGTCGAGCTGCTGCGCAGGCAGCCAAATATTTGCGCTGGGCAACAGTTTGACACGCTCGCTGGCCGAATTAAATTGATAGTAATTCATAAAATTGCCGTACTGCACGGCGCCGGGATCTCCGTCGCGATGCTCCATTTAGAAATTATTAAATGCAAAAAGTGCAAATACAAACAAACACGCCGCAGGTGGCAGCCAAAAGCAGCTGTTTTGCTAAATATCGATATATCGATAAGTAAAAGTATTCACAATATGACGTGACTCGTGACTATCGTTACTTGTGTGCGATACCTTAAGGCGCGGACTTGAATATTCATCGCCTGACTATTGCAATGTGATCAAACATAATAAATAAAAAAAAATAATATAAAAAGTGCAGAGCTCGTGTCGCACATTATAAATGTGACCATGCGAAATTTTTCCTGTAGTTTAGAAATTTTTATTATTTTCAAACTCCACACAATTTTAAGTCTGACCAAATTACATGAACATCGTGCTTTCATCTCTTCGATAGTTTTGCAGCCTCTCGATACATCGAAAGTATGAACAAATACTTGACTTGCTCGATAGTTCGGTATTTTTTCTGGTATTTTGAAAAACGAGCGCGCGCAAAAGTTCAAATTTGAATTGAAGCGTATTAAAACAAAGTTTTCGACCTTTCCATGTACTTTTTAATTTACTGCACTCAATTTAATATATAGTAATATATATATGTTTAACACGTTTCTGCTTCCGGCTTACAATTTGCTAACTTACATACGAGAATCGTTAACAGTTTGTAAAATGAATTGAAAAATGATTGAAATTTGATGCACAATGAAATAATATACACAATGCACGTTGGCCTGTTTGTGGATAACTTATTTCAGGGTTTCATTATTTGTTTTTTCTTTGCTTTTTTAACAACAATTAACTACAAACAGACATGAGCACAACCCGGGTCAGATCGGGGAAACTGAATTTAACCCACTAAGGGAACTAGGCAAAATCGCAACAGTCTGTTGAAACCTGAGCCAAGTTCTGCTCATGTGCGGCAGAAAATGAAAGAAAGAGAACATAACATTTAACCTACAAATATATATAGTATGTGTATATCCATGATGCGAATTAAATAAACTTAACTCTGACTAGGCGCTAAGTTAAACTATATTTAATATTAAGGTATTAACTATGTATATATTACGATTTGTATGCAATTCGTTTGCAACTTGACTTGTCGAAACTAAATATATAGTTTTTTTTTTTTTCTTTCGATTTTGTATTAATATTTAGTTTAGTTGCGCTAAAAACTACTGGAAATGTGTTTCGTGTTGGTTTCGTTTTTTCGAACTCAGTTTATTTAAGTACTGTTTGTTTGTTTTTGTTTTTCCTTCTAAATTTTCGCTTTGGTTTTAATTTAACGCTGAAGCGTGCGCAGATCGAAATACGAACTCGTTTTGGAACTGGCGGAACTTGTGGAACGCGTGGAACTACGTTTGTTTTTTTTTTTTTTTTTGCTAACTACGCTCCTGTCTCTGTCTTTGGCATATCGATAAATAATCGATTATCGATAAATTGTTGTTGCTGTTAAATTCTAGAATGCTACTAAATATGGACTTTTAGAGAAGAAGAAAACCTAACACGCCAAGTGTGTACACACTTTTTATTTTTTTTGTAAGAGTAGCCTTTGCTAAAGAGCTGCTGCTCGAAACGGAACGGAAAGGGAAACGGAAAGGGAAACGGAAATGCAGCCATTTGCAATTTGAAATTGAATTGAATTTTCGAAGTAGATTAGGCCTTGTTATAAGTTTTTTTTTTGTTGTTTTTTGTGGGGTATATAGCTGGATATGTATACATATACGCTATATACATACATATACATAATAGATATATACGTTTTGTAAGCTCATAAATACACAATACATAATACAATCGAATCCGAAACATAATTATGTTTAAAACTCTTACCAAACTTAGCTTACGGGCTATCTCAAATGAATATGTCTTTCAATTAGTTATTAGTTTCTGTTAGTTGTGTTTCGTGTTTTTCTTTTACGGATTTTGGTTTTTGGAGTGTTGCGAAGCGTCGCCAGCGATCCATAAAAAAAATGCAACTATGTGGCCAGGCGGCAAGTACGATTCAGTTATATGTAAATGTTTTGTGGCAATGACACAGAGTTGCATAATTTAATTAATTTTCGATTTACAACCAATTTATACTTGAAAATTTAACGACTCTAGTCATCTGGGTCCAACCCGATTAATTCAGCTTGCAATCTGCCCTTAGTCTTACAGCAAATGGTTAAACAAAATACTCTCAATGCGATCCGGAATTGTGGCGACATGCTAGACATTATCAAAATTTTCCAAAATGAATTCAATATGCCAATCCAGACGACCGCAAAATTGATGAGAGTACTTTGGATAACCTCGCCCATGACCGCCTCGTATAGACGCAATAGTATCCATGGCAGCCAGGACATCCAGAATGCAAAGACTAATGCGAATGACATCATATGACTAGGGTTCGATAAATTTTCAGCCAATGCAGTTGCATACTCTTTATCATGTATGGGCTCGCCCGATCTCAGCTTGCGCATCATTACAAATATATAACCGTAATTGTGTACTATCGATATGAGGCTGGGACCTAATACTAATATTGCCAATGTAACGGTATATGCCGCCATATTGCCCCAGTCGAGCATGCAAATGTGCGACAAATTGTTCTCAATCGGCTGCGTATAGCCGAGAATTGGGGGACAGCACAGCAAAGCGGCCGATATCCATGTGAACACCATCCAACACTGGCACCTACAACGATAACACAATTTTAATCGGTTATCGATAGTCGATAGTTGCTTGTCGATAGTCGCCTATCGCTTACCGCGTCTTCGTCTGCACCGTCTCGTAGCGCAGCGGCTTGCGCACCGCCAAATAACGATCCACCGATATCCACATGAACGTATAGACGGATACGGCCCACAGCGTAACCTCCAGATAGCCGGTGAAACGGCAAACGATATCCCCGTACATCCATTCGCCAGTCAGCGCGGGATAGACGGAGAAGGGCACCACCAGCAGTCCGCATAGCAGATCGGCAATTGCCAGCGATAGCAGATAATAGTTAATCACCTCTGTGGGACCTGTGTGGAACGCAAGTTGAAAACTCAAACTCAAACCCGAACCCGAACTCAAACTCAAATTCAACTTAAACGCAAACTCAACTCGAACTCGAACTTGAACTCAACACAGCACTGTGGGGAATTTGGAACGTTTTGCTGGCAAAAAAATTACATAACAAAATGCAAAATGCATGCAACTGCGGTGTTAAATAACACAAATGTTAACAGAAACCAATAATGTTAGGCTAACAGCTGTTAAGCGTAAACACTTCCGTTAACATAAACATAACATAAATTGGATAAATTTGTTATGCACTTCTAGAGAGTACATAAAGAGAGTATATAAAGATAACAGAAATCAATTATGTTAAAGTAAGAGCTGTTATGCTGCTTGCATGCTGTTATAATTTACTGGGAAGTAAAAAATATATACTATGTTAACTTAAGCCAATTATGTTAACTCATTATGTAAAAAATGTTAAGAGCAGCTGATTCAATTGCATGCATTCTAGATAGTATAACATTAATGGCAACACAAACAATTTAGCTGTTAAGCGTAAATGGAGTAACGTGCCTTTTTTTCATGACCTTCTCGATGGTTTAACATAACATAAATTGCCTTTCTAGATAGCACAATATCAAAATTAACATGAACCAATTATGTAAGCATAACAGCTGTTAAAACTACACTTGTTTGAATTGCATGCATCATTTAAAAGGTTATTCTTTCTAGAATGTATTAGAATGTTGCCGAGAATATAATTATTGCATAGAAGGAGATATCTCTGACTGCATAAAGCGTATATATTTATGATCCGTATTAAAAGTCAAATCGATATATAAGTTGGAAATGATCGGAACTATTATATCATAGAAATTATCGCTCGAAAATTGAGTTCTTGTATGAACAACTTCTTTGTTTTTTAAGTTAAGTTTGAAAAAATCTAAATCTTATCAACATCGGATGTTTATATCATATTGATGGAAAATTACGTGTTTCTATGTGTCAATTATCTAAGTTATCTAATATATCTACCAGCCCTTAAAGAGACTTTCTCTTTGGCAAGGGCTACAATAAATTGGTAGCTTTCGGAAGTGCCGAGAACTTTTACGCTTAATAGACTTCTCGATGCCGATTACCAGATATTTTAGTTTAGTTTTAATCCTTATGTTAAGCTAACTTTTTGAAAAGGCAGCCCAGATCTTAATAATATTTCCCCGTTTAAACGTTCCAAATTTCCCGCTAGTGGAGCGTCAACTCACCTTTAAAGTTCGCATAGGTAGCTATAATTAACAAATTGGATAGTACTATGGCCACGCCCACTATGGAGATGAGTACGGCTTTGGTGAGTGCCTCCAATTTGGAATTATCCTGCAGGTAGCTCATTTCCTGCATTTTAAAATGGCCAACCGTGGCAAAAGGTGAAAGCGCTCGCCCCTCGGCTTAAGGTTATGCGAAGGCCAAAATCGCACGTAAGCCGCAGGCCTCACTTCCTGTCATGACGGCGGGCGGCAGTTAGCGTGGCGCCCTCTATTGTCCAATAGCCGAATGCAAATGTGCGCACGCCAAGGTCGCCGCTGCTGCTGCTGCTGCTGTTGCTGCTGCTGCTGTTGCTGCTGCTGCAGTTGTCGTTGCAGTCGGCGTCGCAGCTGGCGTCGCCGAATTTGTATAAATTTTCGTGTTGCCTGCTTTTAGGCTAAACCGATATTTGTTGTTGTCTTTTCCTGCTGTTAAGGTTAAGGTGAATGTTTTTTTTGTTGCCTTTTGTCGTTTGCGAATTCGTTTTAGAAGCTCGTTTAAAAGATTTGATTTAAAATGTACCGTTAAAAACTACTAATAGACAATAGTTTTTGGTGTTTTTTTTTGGTTTTGGTTTTGTTTGCTTTTCGCTTATTTTTTTCTATATTAAATTCACAACGCTTTTTCTCTAATTTTAATAAAATTTTAATAATGCTTTTAATGCGCTACTAAAAGTTCGAATATATGTATATATATATTTATCTATGCACTATTCATATATATATATGTATATATATGTATGTTTACTTGTTGTTGTTGCTTCTAAATTTGTTGGCTAATTATTTTGTTTACTTTTTGTTTTTTTTGTTATTTGTTATTGAATTTAAAAATTACACATTTCAAACGTTTGAAGTGGAAGAATAATGATTACAATTATTATTTAGTTTCATTTGGTTTTAGTTTTAATTTTAATATAATTTAGTATATATTTTTATTGAAATTTATTTGCGACTATAATTAGAGCACAGCACAAATTGTTTTTCTTTTTGGTTTTTCTTTTTTTCTTTTTTTTTTAATATTCGTAAGGCTTTTGATGTGCTACGTTGAAAATATTGTTTATTAGGCTTGATTTTAATTCGTTTTGTTTTAATTGCATTTATTTGTTTAATTTATTTATTTAATTATTTGTTTGCTGCGTTGTGCTTTGTGATTATCCTTTTGCTTGTAAATTCTGGCTGTAGTTTTTTTTTTGCTTTTCTTGTTGTTTGTTGTTTTTATTGCTCTACGTATTGTTGTTGTTGCTGTCAGTTTAAGCTAATTGTGCGCATCTGTGAATGGGAAAGCAAATGTTAGGCATTCATTTGTTACTTGAGAAAACTACCCGGCATTGCCCGGGAATTTACTTAAATATTATTCGCACTGAGTTCAGGCTAAAAGAAAGCCGCTTAGATTGCACACAAGTCACTCAGTCAGTCAATTCAATCACCGGTCAGTCAGTCAATCATTTAATTAGTCAGTCATTCAATCATTTAGTTAGTCAGTTAGTCAGTCCGTCAATCAGTCACTCAGTCAGTCACTCAGTCAGTCAGTCAGTCAGTCATTGAGTCCGTCAATCAGTCCGTCAGTCAGTCATTCAATCAACCGGTTAGTCAGTCATTCAATCATTTAGTCATTTAGTCAGTCAGACACTCGTTCATTCAATCATTTAGTCAGTCAGTCAATCAGTCAGTCATTCAGTCAGTCAGTCCGTCAGTCAGTCATTCATTCAGTCAATCAGTTAGTTAGTCAGTCAGTCATTCAGTCTTTCATTCGGTCACTCCATCAGTCAGTCATTAAATTAGTCAATCAGTCATTCGTTCATTCAGTCCGTCCGTTAGTCAGTCTTTCATTCATTCAATCAGTCAATTATTCAATCATTAAGTCAATAACTCTGCTCGTCAGTCAGACATTCAGTCACTCAGTCAGTCAATCAGTCTGTCATTCAATCAGTCAGTCCTTCAGACTGTCAATCCGTCAGTCAGGCATTCAGTCACTCAGTCAGTCAGTCAATCTGTCAGTCAGCCCGTCAGTCAGCCCCTCACTCAGTCAGTCCGTCAATCAATCAGTCCGTATAAACTCTCTTCTATATACAGATAAGCTATATCAAGTGCATGGCCCAGTTCTATAAATGATTCAACTTAAGCCTTTTAGCTGCATAAAATGCTTTACATAAGCGTCCTTATCCTGCCAATGCCACTTTGAGCATTTCGACTGCCGGAACATCCCCACCCCCACCCCCAACCACGCCCTCCCCCAACCCCCTTCCCTCCCTCTCTTCAGCCTGCTGCTGCTTGCAGTGACCCACTTTGGGACTGTGCACTTGACACAGTTTGAGAGCCATCGCTGTCAAAGCAGCCACTTCAAGCATTGTGACTGCACAAACAATGCGCCGCAGTGCAACTCGAACTGTACAGTTTGATATGCTCAGTCATGAATGAAAACCCTTGAAATAGTCGAATGCGTTGTTAACAAGTTAAAATATTGCATTTTGCTTTACACAGTTTCAGAAGTGTGTGCTCTGTCAGCACAAGTATGCCTCAAGAGTATGCCTCAAACTGTGACTGTCGAACTGTGCATCTAATTTGTATTTTCTACACCTTCGATAACCCTTTGTCATTTTTGGGGTAGCTTAACTTAAGTCTCTTTTCTGTTCTAAGCCGCATCTACAGTTGTAGCAGTTGTAGTAGCTCTCTAACGGTGACTGTCAAACTGTGACTATCAAACTGTAAACGTAAATAATATACAAGCGATTCGTTGTCATTTCATGGTCAACTCAGCTCTAATCTTTTGACCATTTGAAATAGCTCTCAAACGGTGACTGTCAAACTGTGAACCAAGCTGTGCTTGTCAAACTGTGACTGTTAAACCTTTCAAAAAAGTTATTCTTGCCCGTTTAAGTAGTTCAGCTTTAATCTCTTGACTATTTCGTCTTATTCTCAAACTGTCAACTTGTGACTCTCAAACTGTATGACCTTTTAGCCAGCGACAGTCACCATTTAGAATTTGTCACTTTTGTTTAGTGCTTTCCGCAATCGATCTCAAAGCACTTATTGAGCCAACGACTTTAGCTCCATCTTTATACCCCTTTGGAGGGAGGGGAGGGGGGGGGGAGGGGTTGCTGTCTCATCAGCATCATGGAGCCGACGTCATTTTGCCATTTTGCCACAAATGCGGCAGCCCATTATCAAATGCCATTAAAGGACAGCAGCTGGGCGCCACGCGGGCGCCCACACAAATTGCATTGTGTAAGGTAAATTGAGGAGGGGTGGGGAGGGGATGGGGGTAAGGGAGGTGGAGAGGGGGTTGGTGACTGTAACAAGTTTGTCATTTACGCGACGCCGTCTCTCAACTTGGTAATTTAATTAAAGCCAACGGCGCAAAGGTTCGACAGACGACTCAGGTGATAAATAACAATGAATTGCATTTGGCTGAGCCCTAAAAGAGCATGACCCCAGCCCCCCTTTCCCCCCTTCCCCCCGCCCGCTCTGCAGATTGTCAATCATTGCGTAAGCGTTGGCTGCAGCTGCTAGGGAAAGAGCAAGGGGGGGGGATGAGGGGTTGGTTCATGTCATTTGTGGAAAATGGCTTGATGACGGCGGCGCCAACGCGACGGCCAGCTGTGCTCGGCCAGAGGCAATTACAATGAAATAACTGTTATTTGCTGCCAACTAAACCGTTGCATAATGAGCTACACAGCATAGGGGGGGCGTGGCATGGGCGGGGGAGTATAGAGGGAGAGAGGGGGGGGGATGTTATGGTAACGGGTTCAGCGAACTCATTTGCACAATGCCAAAATGAAAAATCAATAAGCACGTGAATATTTATGATTAATTACGAAAATCATTTTCCATTTTACTTTCCACTCTTAATGCTTTTTCTTCTTCTTCTTCTTCATCTTCTTGTTTTTGTGCTTGCGATGACATTTTGATTGCCAAGCACAATAAATTTCCTGCTTTTGCACATTATTTATGACACGGCAAATATTATGAAGCCAGCGAGTATTAACCGGCTTTGCCCGTGGCAGATTTGGTGCTATTTCACCTATTTTCCACCCGTGGAACTAACTGTATTAACTTGAACTTCACTTCTTAGGTTATTGTTAATATTTTTAAATGGAAATAGCTTGAAAGTCCATCAAATGAATAGTCAAAAGTTAGAATCCAAGGTTTCCGTCCATGTTAGTTTTGTGTTGGAAATCCTTAAGCCGAAATATACAATTTCGTTCAACCCTCTGAAAATAGTCTAAAAAATATTGAACAAGAATTGGAACTCGAAAAGTAGGAAAAGTTCTCTCAAGTAAAGTTTGAGCAAAGATCTTTTAAAATGATGTTAAGGCCAATCGAATGGTAAAGAAAATAGTTGTATACAATTGTATTTCCACCATTTTTCCACACTTGCGGGTGGAATTTCTATGACAGCTTTTTGATATGCTGTTGCGATTTAGTTAGTTCGAATATATTTACCTAACTCCTAATAAGCAGAAGCATCAAATTTGTAGTGCATAGCGCAGAAGAAAGCTGAGCTCGAAGAGCACAGATTAATATAAAAGACATTTCGGACATAAAATCTATACACTTCAGGGTGAAATTAATGTGACATAGACTACCTTACTAAAGGGTATAAAAGCAAGTTAATAGCTTTTTCTTTTTGACAGGGTTTGGCCTTAGACAGCTTTAGAAAATCGGCTACACAAACAGAAATTGGATTTATGGATTTTTGCTGGCAAAAACTTAGCCGCAAGTTACATAAAAAATGCATTAAAAATGCAATGTTAGACGGCATAAATGGCATGAATTTGTATGCCCTTCTAAATGGAATAACATAAAAAGTTAACATAAACCAATTATGTTAAGATAAAAGATGTTAAGAGCGGCTCGTTGCTGTTTTTTTAGAGTTTGCCTCTCGAAAGCTTTGGAAACTGGGCTACATAAAATGGCAATGAGATTGATGAGAGTTCGTGCTGTCAAATGCAATGTGCAATGTTAAACAACATAAAAATGTTAACATAAACCAATTATGTTAAGATGAAAGCTGTTAAGAGCAGCATGTTAAATGGATGTTTAAGTGTGACACATGATACCTTTTCGCAAGGGTATTAAACCATATATATATAGCCTTCTGTTTTTTCATAGGGTATGCCTTTCGAGAACTTTCGAAACTGGGCTAAATAAAAAACAATGAGATTTATGAGATATGCTGTCAAGTTTGCTGGCAAAACTTTTGATTTCTAAGCAAATGCACGCGAGTGTATGCAGTCCCTTCAACAGGGTAACATGTGTGCTCGTGTGTGTGTGTGCGGGTGTGTGTGGGTGCGGTTGTGTGTGTGAATTTCATTTGCAGCCATAAAATATGTATCGCATGCGTGTTTATGGCGCAACACACTCGCACAGATACGCGCGCAAAAGATACAGATACAAATGTATCTATGCATGGACACTAGGGACTAGCGAGGGGAGGGGAGGGCGGGGGGGGGGAAGGAGCACACATGACGCCACATTGATTTAGAAAGCCACGCGCAACGACGACGACGACGCCATAAAATCATATTTAAATGGCAGCGCAGGTGGTTGGGCGCGCCAAGCCGCACTCAGCGCATACCCTAACCCCCGTCCAAAGCAAATGCGAAAGCGAGCGAAGGCCAAGGCGAGTGCATGCTAAAAAAAAAGAAATATACATATATATCTATATACTATATATATATTTGCAAAGGAAACGGAAGAGGATACTCAGTCGATGACGTTGGCTGCGGCGACAGCACAAGAGGACGCTCTGGCAAGGCTGCTGTGGCCAGAGGGGGGAGGGGATGGTGAGCGGGGGGGGGGAGGGGCTGCAGGTGGCTGCGGGTGTTTGACAGCTGCGTCATCAGGCAGGCTTATATAAGCATGACCTCAGCAGCACAGCAGAGCCCAGCCGGTCTGTCGTTTACCTTGGCAGAACTTTTTTTTTTTTGAATACCCTGTAAACCCTTTGCAAATGCCCAAAAACGGGGTATATTGACTTAAAGAGACTTGGTCAGATAACTTTATATATTCGATAACTTATTGCACTTGCATCATAGCGATAAAATCGATTGTTTTGCGATTATGTTCTCTCCAGATACTTGAAATTTGGAATATAGAAAATGTTGAAAGTTGAATAACTATATTTATCGATCATTCACATAAGTAGTTATTATTGCGATAACTACATCCTATTCTATTGATAAATATCTATATTTTAAAGCTGCAAGGCGGGTTTTCAAACTACTATATATCGATAACTTGACGCCATTACAGCCTATCGATAAATA